ATTTGGAGGGCGGATAAAAGACCTATTGAGAGTATTTACATCAATAGAAGAGGCACAATTATTATGCTTACCACAACCTGTAATTTCTCTAAAAAGCCTTCATATGTTTTCTGAAGTTCTCCAAAACAGTATTGTTTGATTATAAATATTGTTTAGTCTCTTGATTTCAGAATTAATTTGGATGTTTATTTTCCTAAGACCAGATTTATTCTTTGTTTTGCATATATCACGGCAGAATTTAAGATAGTCAGTCAAATTGGAAATAGTATCATCCAGTGTGTGTTCGTTGAAAAGTTCCCAGTTTGTGTCATTTAGCATACATCTTAGTTTGAGCACGTTTTCCTGTGAGTAACACCTTTGCTGTGTTTTCCTGGACAGATTTGAGAGGATATTAAAGTGAGATCTGCTGTATATCTTAGGTAATATCCGAATAATACAATGATCAGAGTTCATTACAGGAGCACGTCTGTGTGCTTCATATATTTCCCCATCATTAATAAACACTAGATCCAGAGTTTCATCAAGTCGAGTAGGAAATTTAACAATATTGACATGACCTAATGATACAAGGAAAGAACAATCGCAGGAATTGAAATCTCCTGCGACAACTGATAAAGAGTTTTCAAGATGTGTAACGGCGAATCCAGTGAATTCATCCGCAAAATCAGATAGATCCTAGGCAGAACAGCCAGAAGTAACAGGAATGTTTGAGATGAAGATGTATTTAAACTTGGATAAGTGTTTCGGACGGCATTTGACTGTTATACAATCAATAAAGTCACTAGAGAAAGAAAAACATACAGTATTTGAAGTTGACCATTGAGAATGAATGAAAGCTGCAACACCTCCACCTCTTTTCTTTCTGGAGCATAGTTGATCTTGTCTAAACAATGTAAAGCCATTTAGGGAAACCAGATTATCATGGTAGAGTTCATGGAGCCATGTTTCTTGTAATGCAACAATCGCCGTATTGTGTGTGATAAGTATCAGATGATAAGAGAGATCGGAGATGCATAATTTTGTTGGGAAGTGAACGGCAATTTGAACGGACAATAACAGGAATAGTTGTGCGATATAAAGGTGTTTGTTTGAGAGCACGTTGACAAACACCGAAATGTTTTCTCTTAGTTTTATTAGATGCATAAAAGTCATATGGTTTGAAACGTTTAATGAATGAATTACTGTATTGTATAAGATATGTCATCAAATTTAATTAAAATTAAGAATGAAAACATGACTTATTAGATGCCATATGTAGATGCAGGAAAAGGTAGCCCAGGTGTAAAACAGGCCGCCAGAAAATTATCATTATCCGATTGTTTTTATCCAAATTAACTGTTCATTTTCTGCTATTATTGCGTTTTTAATCCATTTCTGTAATGTTGTTATTATTCGACCCTTGAAAGTAAACAGTTCTGGAACTTCGTCATCCTTTCGCTCAATATATGTACACAAATATACAAACTAGGTGATGATGACTTCATCGAAAAGAAAATTATTCTCTCCACTGCAACCGTCTTCTTCACATAGACACAACTTGAAAAATCTACCTAAGAAAACAAGCCATGATGTGTATGACTGGCCTCGAGAAGTTGTTCTCTTGTCTCTGAAGTCATCTAACATCCCTGAATAGGGAATAGGCTCGCCTTGTAATCCAACAACTGTATTTCAATACTAACCAGAAAAGCTAAACTGGCTGGAACTAATATTCTTGAGGTTTTCCTAGAGGTTGTTAGGATAGTTAGCGGTTAGACTAAAAGCAGAAGCCATCAGACTGTACAGTAAGTCACTCACATTATGTTGGCGGTCTGAGTAGTGAAGTTCCACGGCTGGCAAACAGGAATGTAACAATAGTGAAGTGTTCCCCTTAGATGATTATGCAGCCTCTCCGCTCTGAGGCACGTGAAAGCAGTCAGAAATGTTGACCATGAAAATTGTACGCCTCAAATTAGCCTACAACAGTCCATAGATGGTGCGGGTAAATATACCTATTGATTCATATTTAAAAATAAGAGATGTACTTTTATATAAACATACAATTCTATTTATTTATTTATTTATTATACATATTGATACCTGTTGCATGACTCATGATTGGACAAAATTTTAAAAAACAAGATGTGTCCCTTTATGTATAAACTTTGTTATGTACAAATTTCTTCTGAACACACAAGTTTGGCTTCTTCAGGTGGATTCCTATTGCTTCAGCTGTATGTAGAAGACGAACTCGTAAAGCAAAATTAAGATTAGTAGGAATACGATAAATAATTTTAAATGCAGTATTAACGTCAACCTTATGCTCACTATCTACAAGGTGGGCTAAAATAGAGCTACGAATAGATCTTGTTTGTCCCTTGCTTAACCATGCCGGATGATGTTCGGAAATACGATGATGAACCTGACTAATTGTTCGCCCGATGTAGCTGGCTCCGCAGCTGCAGTCAAACTGGTAGATACACATAGAAGAGGCGAATTTAGGTAGTTTATCCTTATTACTCGAACGTAGGATAGGTGTGGTTGTGAAGAGACAGCGTACCTCTGCTGCACAATAAGCTCTTTTAACTGCATTCTTCAGTCGTTGTGTTATTATTTCGCTGATATTGTCACCGAGGAACTGAAGTTTTATGAACAGTGGTTTCTTCGGAACTGTAGCCATAGTGACTGTCTTAGGTGATGAATTCATATTTTTCTCAATAAACTTATCTGGATAACCATTTTTTCTAAGCAATTCTCTAATAATCTTAAGCTCCTCATTGAAGCAGTCGTCTGAACAGATTAACCTAGCTCTATGAACCAGACACTTTACCAGGTTACGTTTATATTTCAAAGGTACAAAACTCAAAAAATGAGTGTACTGACCTGTTGTAGTAGGTTTCCTGTACACACTCCTTCTTAGTGCGCCATCTTCTTTCCTTGCCATGAAGACGTCTAGGAATGAGATACTGTCATTACTTTCTTTCTCTACGGTAAAGTTTATTGCTGAATGGGCATCATTAAACTTGTCAAGGATGTTCATTGCATCGTCCTCGTTTTTTATGACCAGAAATGTTTCATCCATATATCGACAGTAGAAATCCAAGTCACTAATTACTCATTTCGGTGATCCATTCTCTAACTTAGCGAGGAAAAAATCAGCTAGGATTGGGCCTAATGGGGAACCCATAGCTACACCATCAATTTGTGTGTAATATTCCTTATTGAATAAGAAATGAACATTCATTGTACATCTTAAAATAAGTTCCTTCAAGGTGGATATAGAAATGCCGATGTCTATGTTTCGTGTGGTGATCTCCTCACATATAAAATCCACTGTCTCCATTAACGGTACATTGGTGAACAAGGAGGATACATCAAAGGATATCATAAACTTGTCCCTCACATTAAGATCTCTTATTTTTCCAACAAATTCAAAACTGCCATTTACGCTGTGTTTTACCAACTCATTATGTAGAGGTTTCAGCAGCTTGACTAACCATTTCGCTGTAGCATGATATGGGGAATTACACATGTCTAACACTGGTCAAAGTGGCACACCAGTTTTGTGCACTTTTGGAAGTCCATATAATCTTGGTGTAACCGTGCCAGTAGGCTTCAGAGATTCATATAGACCTTCTATGATGCTTCTTTGTTGTTTAAGTCTTTTTAGTGACTCGATTAGCTGTTTCTCCACTTTTTCTGTTGGATCGACGGAAGATGTGATTTTTTGAAATTTTCGATGATCACTGAGTATTCCATTCATCTTATCTATGTATTCAGTCTTATTCATTATTACTACTCCAGAGCCTTTATCAGGTTTCGAAATTATTATATTCTCATTATTTCGCAGCTTATCTAGGGCTTCCCTGTGTTTCTTGGTCAATAAGCTATTCTGTCTCCGTTTACTATTTATATATTTATAACAACAGTCGACGAGAGTTGATTTAAGACTTTCAACTGCCTCAGATGATGAGGCCAAATTATTTTATTTTTCTGATTACTTCATTTTTAATTACGGGTTATCCTTGTAAAAATTATTTTATTCTTATGACCACTTCAACTTTAGTTACAAATTGTCATTGTCCAAATTGTTTTATTTTCTTTAACAATCTGTTACGTAATCAACCTGTGCACACGCTTATTCCTTAATTGCTCTTCATTTTTCCTAAATTATGCATTATGCAATCCACGTGTTGTAACCATTTCCACCTTTTAATTACACATATTAATTTTTCTTCGTTAATTACCACCCCATTGACATTTTGACACTGACTAATTATTGTTAACAAACATATCGCCACTTGATTGGTAAATTGTTGTATATTGTAATTAAAATGCTATATATATTAGAGTAGAGCCAGAGATGAGGATCTAATTGAAAAGTAAATATTTCTTCGCTCAATCTTTCTCTTTTCTAAATGTCTAAATGGGGATATTTTCTATATTGAAATACGCCTTTTACGGATGGATATTCCAAATGAGAACTTCCTACCCTCCACATTCATTAAAATAATCATTGGTGGCTATCCACACCACAGCGACCACTGGTTGCAGTGATACATTGTATTCACGTTTATATCGAAATATACGTATGTGACCACGAAGTACACCCACATCAATAGCCTATCGAATATGAGAGAGAATCAGATGAGTAGAAGGTGACTTCGTTATCGAGAATGTCATCAAACAGAAAGCAGAGAACAGAGGTGAGCTGACGTAGTTCTCAATGTGACACGAAGAAATCCACAATATGACATATGCACACACATGAGCGGATCGAATAACATTTCCGAACCCTAAATCACCATCAAACTCACCGAACACAAATTACACCAAATCAGACTAACAGGACACACACACCTACCTACCTACTGGGAACACATGCGGAGAACGGACCAAACACGTATAATAAGAAGAAGACTCTGACTACTCATATCACAATAACTTGACACTCACAAATCAAAAATAACACCAGTAGTAGTAATAATAACATTATTAATATTCAGAATAATGTGAGTAATAGTCACAGTATTGATAATAATAATAATAATAGCGATAAGGAGCAGAAGAATTACGTGAGGGAGTGTAGACAACACCATAGAAGTAACGCCAACCTCTGCAGAAACTCGATTCACAAAGCTATATGAGGAATTCCACAGAGAATGGAAGCTTTCCCTTCTCATTATTATTCACTACCTCGTTACACTTCTTAGATTCCTCGAGTATCGTTGACTTGCGCATCATTTCACTCCTGCACTTCTCATCATCATCACCGCCACCGCTGCTGCTTCCAACAACACTTGTCGTCTTGCTACCACATGGAACTTGTGTTTCACTAGCCTCAGCACACGTGGAATTTGAAATAGGGTCCGAAAACGCCATTCTAGATGACACATATCGTCTGCATTCTTCATATGCCTTCATCTCCTAAAATAAAGTGTCCAGAATGAGAGTGGAAACAGAATCACATAGGAACACAAATCATTTCATCAAGTATGAGAGACACAAACCGTGTGACTTACTTCTGCATAACGCTCTTCATCTTTCCTCACTAGCACAAAATACCTCTCTCTGTCTTCACACATCGTCCAACGTCTTCGAAGCTCTGAAATCACTTCCCGATGATTCCACTGTGGATGGCTCCCCCTCACTTCGCGACGAAACTGATGACAGAAATAGTAAAAGGCACGTCGTGGTTTAACAGGACCTGGAACAAGATCTAAACAACACCTTTCACCAATTCTCGCCTGTTTCACACGACGTCCAGGTACACATTCACTTGTCTCTCGAGAATGTCATTCTTTGTACTTATCAGCAATATCTACGAATTGCTTCCTCTGTTCTCCTTTCATCACCTGATATGATTAGTATTATTATTATGATTAGCAATCAAGTGTAAACAGATACTCACATTCCATTGTTGTGCACACCTATTTGTTACGTCACACAGTAGAAACGCCTGCTCCGGAAGCTTCTTCTTGTATTCAGCTATCGCGATCTTCACAAAGCAGTGGAACGCATTCAAACGCCGTTTCGGTTTGTTCTCTTTGTTGTCATTCATAGCGAGCCAGCCAGTCAGGAAGCTATCTGTATGGGTGGATGAATTGATGGAGGCACACAAATGTGTTTAATTGGAAGTCCATTTGCTTGGTGCAGAATGAGAAGCTTCTAATCCAGGCTAGTCTGATCCCGAGTATATATATGCTCATTTTGACTGATTTGATTGGTTCATCGATCGACACATATCTTATATTTGGTAATTCGAATAACTGACGCATACATAGGCATTTTGACTTGATTTACAATTTTGAAAGGTGGAGTAGGCAGGCCGTAGATCACTTGATATGTAGTGCTTTCCCTTCCCCCATCCCCTCCCCTGTCCCCTTTAACTCGTGTATATTGAGAAGTCATTTGCCTACACTGACTCATCCAGCCATTTAATGTTCATCACCTGAGAGAGGACACCTGTGTGTTGATTAAGTGTGACATCTTTCTACTATGTTTTATCTCTTCTATATAGTGCTTCCCTACCCACTTAAACTTTATTATATAATATATATATATATATATATTATTTTAATTCCTAGAGGAACATAGGGCCTCTGATCTTTCTCTCTCTCTCTCTCTATACATGTGTATATATACGTATGTAGAGAGAGAGAGAGAGAGAGAAAGAGTGTGAGAGGGAGAAGACATAGTACACACGGATGTGCTCTCTCAGGTGATGAACAATAAATGGCTGGATGAGTCAGTATAAGCAAATAATAATAATATATCATAATACTATATATAATATATTATATTATATATTAGTTTACACGGATACAATTATCATTTATTTAATTCCACATAGTAACGGAGGAGATAATATTTTTCAACTTGAAATGAAAGTTTGAAGGTATGGATACAAATTACAAGGAGCTTAGAGACAAGATTACATAGGATTAGAAAACATTTACAACGTATGCAAAAAATTAATATTTGATAACTGGAGAAATAATAGTTTTAAAGGCGAATAATAGGTGACAGTTACTTTCAACTTGATATGAATTACAGGAGGCGTAGAGACAAACATTACGCAGGGATACAACGAATTGCAAGTGAGAACAAAATGAGCATGGAAACAAATTGAAATAAACGATATCATCATTCTACTTCACAGATTCTCACCTCATCAGCTGCTGCAAACTACCTGAAATTACAATGGTTATGAATAATAACACTTCATACTTCAATGTTTGAAAGGTAATAGAGAAAACATTATAACACTATAATAACTATCTGCTAGCCATTTTGTGACTTTTTAACACTACCTAATATCTATAATTGTATATATTGATGGATTTACATGTCCTAGTTGGCTCAAGTCAGTGATTCTATGATTTTGGTATCATTTTTGTTAACTGTAACTGACTGTGATACTACTACTACTACAGTCATTTTTCTTTTCATGTTGCTGTCGCTGCCCTTCCTGTTGTGGATTATGTTTATTTTCATTTTGCTGGTGTTGTTCTGATTGTTTTATTCCTTGTGTTTCCTGATTCCTGTGGGGAGCAACCCACAAGGACACTCCTCTGTAAACTACACGTAGGTATAACAACCCGCTTCTAAGGCGTGAGACTAGCAACGCCACCCTGTAAACAAAGTTGCTACAAAAACTTCATCACCATGAATCTCCTTGCGCCAAAAGAAAATGTCTGTGTGGGGACATGGAACGTCCACATCACATATGAGAATGGCAAAGTTACCCAGATTGCAAACGAGATGAAAAGATACGGAATTCAAGTACTGGGAAAATGTGTAAGCAGATGGAATGGGAATAGAATCACCAAATTGTCATCGGGAGATTTAGTGACATACTCCGGTCACCCAGAAGACAACCACATACACACTGAGGGCGTGGCTATCACAATGTCACCAACGGAAACGAAGGCCCTGATGCAGTGGGAAGAGACCTCACCCAGGACAATGACTAACAGATTCAACTCCAAAGGAAGAAAAGTGTCAGTTATACAATGCTATGCACCCAAAAACAACGCTGACCTCGGAAAGAAAGAAGAGTTCTACAGACAACTACAGGCAACAATCGACAATACTACAGCTGGTGACATCAAAATACTAGTGGGAGAGATGAACGCCAAACTGGGACCAGACAGCACAGGAAGAGAACTCATCATGGGTAGAGAAGCTCAAAATTAAAAGCTTTCAAAGAAACAGCAGCTGCAGTTAGACCACAAGCCAATTCAATGCTCGAAAACTGAAGGACCAGGCTACAAAGGACATCTTCATTGCAAACATAAGAAAAGAAGCCGAGACACAAGTCAACACTAGCGAACAGGTCGGCGTCGAAAAGCACTGGGACAACTGGAAAACAGTGTGGAGTCAAACCTGCATGGAAGTTCTAGGCAGAAAGAAGGGACAGGACAAACAGTGGCTCACTACGGACACTTGGAGACTAGTAGAAGATAGAAGGATGGTAAAACAAAAGATTATCCAGTGAGCCGACGAGCAACAAAAACAGGAGTTGAATGCAAGCTACAATGCACTGAACAAAAGAGTAAAGAAGAGTGTCAGAGAAGACAAACGAAAATATTATGAAGCCATGGAAAGTAAAGCAGAACAAGCTGCAGGCAAAGGAGACCTCGCCACACTCTACCAAACAACTAGGCACCTATCGGGGAAAAGTTCGGCACAAATTAAGCCAGAGAAAGATGACAATGGAAAGTCAATCACCAAAGAGGTGGAGCAAAGAAAACACTGGGCTGAACACTCCAAAAGACTTCTAAATCGACCGCCAGCTACAATGCGCCCAACAATACCAACGGAAGCGGAAGCGGAACTGCCAGTGAACATCAACCCTCCGACGAGAACAGAAGTCCTGAAGGCAATCAAGATGCCTAAAGTTGGAAAAGAAGCAGGGCCAGACGGAATCCCAGCAGAATCATTGAAAATGGACCCAGAGACGATAGCGGACATGATGACACCATTATTGGAGAAGCTGTGGAGAGAGGACAAGCTGCGTATGGATTGGAAGAAAGGATACTTATCTAAACTGCCAAAGAAAGGAGACTTAAGTCATTGCGAGAAATGGCGCGGAGTTATGCTCCTGTCCATCTCAAGCAAAGTACCGAGCCGAATCATTCTGAAGAGCAACAAACACGCCAACCTGGATGAAAAACCTCAACCGGAACAGGATGGATTCAGGAGAGACAAGTCATGTATTGATCAAATCGCCACACTACGGATCAACATTGAACGAAGCTTAAAAATGGCAGTCACCTGTCTATCTCAATTTCATCGACTTTGAATAGGCCTCCTACAGCGTAGCGTCGATCGACAGGTGATTTGGCCACTACTTCGCTACTACGGAGTGCCACCGACAATTATACATCTCATCCAACAGTTGTACGACAATGTTGAATGCCAAGTAATCCACAACGGGAAACTTACGGAATCCTTCGAAGTGAGGACGGGAGTAAGACAAGCTGGCTGGCTGCCTCCTATCGCCAATGATTTTCGTGATTGCGATAAAATGGATAATGCGACAGACAGCGGATATCGAGGAACCCGGAATAAAATGGACCAACACAAAAAACAACGTGGAGGATCTGGACTTCGCCAAAGCAAGGATCATCGGGAAAGCAAGACAAGCTATCATTACTCTCAAGTCTGTGTGGAGATCCACAGCAATACTCAGCATGAATATAATAAGATCCGGATTTTCAACTCCAATGTGAAGTCAGTCAGTGCTACTTAACATACGGATCAGAGATTATCCGACATTGTCCGAGGCCTCGTGAGAGACTTTACATTGACGATGAAAGTGTTCAATTGGATGAATAGTAGGTGGGTTTTATCACCTGGTTCAAATGTGTGTCTATTCCACTAGTTCTAAATGCTTACCTATAGTTCCAGACTGAAATTGCTGTACTCGATCGACTGTCGCCTCGAAATAGCATTCAAACTGAACAATCTACCTTTCCATGAAAACTCGGTACACTCTCTCGGCTATCGTATACAGCACACGGATAGCCTTCGGCCAACGCGTAAAGTAGTCCACACATGTGACGAATACACATGAGTGGTCATTGGAAGATGGTTAGAGACCGACGATATCCTGTTGAACGTGACTGAAACCTCCATCATGTGTGGTGAATGATTCAAGCGAGCTAAGGTTGTTCTGATGCACTTTTGTGCACAACGACTAACTGTGTGCAAGAAAGCGTACAGTTCAGCACATCATAGTTGATGAGTACGAGAAGGGATATTTCGAAGACAGAAAATGTATGAAACAATCGTGTGAAAGCTTACCCAGCAACAGTTTCTATTCACCTTGATACATGTATATAGATTCACAAAGTCAACTCGTCGCCTAACACCCACAGACGTGTTTGTTGTCTTACATTGACGAGTCCTTAGACGCTTAATTTGTGTGCAGCTCCTTACTGACAGGAAAGAAGGGAGAGCAAGTGCGATATCGACAGAGAGACAAATAGTAGAGAATAACTGCCGGTATCCCACCAAAAACTCTTCATCTTATTGAAATGTCAATATGAGATGTGCTGAACACCTCCCGATGTAAGACAATAATCAATTCTATGTGTGATATAATTGACGTGAAGGAACAGTCGAATAAAAAGAGGAAAGAAGAGGATCAATTGAAAATGTATTTTCCACATTGGTCAAAACATTCCCTTAAATATATACAAAAGAGTGAACCAGCAAAGTGAGGGTAGATTAACGAAAGCGGATTGAACACAAGGCGTAAGAAGTAAGCAGTACAGTTTGTTGCTTCTTGCAACAAAATTAAAAAAGTAAACGAAGTTTCTCAATGTCTTCACGACTTGTTCATTGTTTGGCCGCTGGTTTCGTTGACTGGTTACCACAGGAATCTACCCCCAGTTAACGCTTCAACGGTTTGTGTTCGCTGAAATTTTCAGTTACATTTTGATGAAATCCATTCCAACAACTAAGACAGAAATATTTGAAACATTGAAGTGCTCTGCAAAAATATATTCCAGGAGACTTTAAACATACATTACAAAGAGTATTCCCCAGATACGGATGAACTTGAATAGTTTTGGTGAATTTTGAGGTGTGAATGGTTATCGATTGTGTGATGATAGCTTTCAAATAACTCTCACTACTGGAGAAAATTACTCTCGCAGAACCTGAAATATCAAGAAATACACAAAATGATTAATGTTGCACGTGCATCCATCTCCGAGTATGGCAAATGCATGCAGAAAAGCGTTTATTATGTTATAGTATATTACAAAGAAACGTCATTTCGACTAATGGTCAATGAAGCTGTCAGAGAAGTGCATGAATGTCATTGGATTCATTTATTGATTCGCAGAAATTTCATGTGAATTCTTGAAAATTCTGTTGTACACCAAGTGTTTTCATGCACTGGTAGTCAACAGAAAACACAAGACAGAAAACTCGACAAATATGTGTTATGTGTGACAGGACTGTTATCCAAACTTTGTCTGAAGTCTAATGATACTACATGGCTGCTGAGGTCGAACTTGATGGAAGTCGATTAGAAGCCAGTGTTGGTTGGTTGGTTCAATATCCAGGAGCTAATCTGAGCTGTGTATGAGCTATGCCTTCACTGACACTTCTTTGCTGCTCTATGCTGTGCTCAGCATTCACATTCATTTTTATCACCACATTTTCCGTACCACTCGATTTCGATGAAAGAAATGGTACTTGAAGAAAAAAATTGTCACATGTTGTGTGAGATGGTGTATCGTGTCGACTCAGTCAGCGATGTGTGCACTTGTTTACTACTTCTGTTCGTCCAAGGCATATACTGGTAAAACTTCATTCTACTGAACTGGACAAACTCACCAGTAGGATATTTATATTGATCAGTGTGGAGGGTAGCGGAAACAACATTTCCGAACAGGTCATCCATGATGTTGGCAAGCCCTTTCGCTGTCATCAAACCATGAAGCTGTCCAACATATATGGCATACTGCATATTGGCAGAACTACCAGTTGGCCCGCAGTAGTTGGTGTCTTCTATGCTCCAAGGTACAACCTAGAATTAGACGGAATTCAGAATGATGCAGAACACTGATTACCAATAAAATATTACATATTTTTAAATTCCATCAGAAAGATATCACCCTCACACACACACACACACAAACACTCACTGACTCACTCACTCACTCGTCAAGTGAGCGAGTTTATCCTTCAGACGACGGTGACAACCAGTGTGAAGGGCTCAGCTTAAAGATAAACTGAGAGTGGTTGTGATGAGAAGGGGAAGAGATTTTCAGCTGGACAATGTTAACAAATGATCAGACTGATACATGCATGAACTTTCACTTTAACAAACCGCCGATTATCTGTCCTACTCTCCTTCATCTCCCTCCCTTCATTCGACACCACTGACTTGTAGACTCATTTGACACGCACTCCTACTCTATTCGTCTATTCCTACCATGCCACTTCGGTGTTATTTATTCTAAGGCCAGTATTAATTCCACTGTGAAATTCCTCCGAGCATTTCTTCCAAACTGGTCACATCGTGTGAGTCACGAATTCTGTTTTATTGGCATCAAAGTTATTGACGCATACTATGAATGCTTGTCTAACATAACAGGTGGTGAAGCCATCTGTTAAATTTAACACGACAGTTATTCATTCTTTGCGCTTCTTCCTCTTATTCTCCTCTTTCTTCTTGTCTCAAATATCCCACTTATCAATTGTATACATGGTATTATAGTGCATTGTATACATATAGCTATACTGATTCATCCATCCGGCCTGATTTTGTACACATCCAGAACCTACAAAGAACGCATTGACCAAATTTATTTCACAGATAATTCAACAACATCAAGTGGAAGGAAGCCAATTCTCTGAAGTCAAACACACATTGAAAATTCTTGAAATGGGCAAGTGCATGCACTCTCACTAATTTCATTTCTTCAATTCGTCTGAGGACATGTTTCGACAGAGTGTCAACTAATGCCAATTGGTGCAAAGTAGACAATGCCAACTGTGTCTCCAAACACAGAGAGATAGATAGACAGATAAATGGATAGGCAGACAGACAGACGGTCACACAGACAGAGAGATAGATAGATACACACCAGATAGACAGCAGACACAGGGACAGACAAAAATGAAAGAAGTAAATATCTTTATCCTCTGAGTGTTTCCACTTGTAACCCTATGGGTTGGCAACATGCATATTTATTTGCATATCACAAATAACCTACTGGACTGAGGAAGTCAAGGAAGTCGATTGATTCATCGACAGTGTGTATCGACAGTTCCACAAAAGCCTCAAACAGTCTTATCTCAGCGGGATAGTGTTGCCTTTCAAGTTTCAGTCAGTCAGTGAGTCAGTCAGTCACACTGTGATTAACGCATAACTACTAGACAAAACACTGGTAAGAGCAAATACATGATTTCTGTGACAAAATATATCCTCACCTTCGCATATCTGAACGGAAAGTTGTATAATGGAATTCTGTAGAAGTCACTATCTATCCTACGAGTTCTGAAAGAGTTCCTCAGAAGTTCCAGAACACATGCCTCATCTTCATATACGAGATAACAATAACCTAAAATATGAGATAATTTCAATGTCAGTCAAGTGAAACAAAGTAGGCGGAAACGAGGCTTCTCACTGTTTACCAGTAAAATGACTTACCTCTATTGTTATACTCGCTACTCAAATGAACACCATCTGGTTTTGGCCAAATGACGGTAATTTGGCCAAATCTACAAAACACCTCCATTATACCAGACTCCGTTATTCCATATGGCAACCCGTAAACGAACACTTTCTTGAAATATTTCCTGATATGTTTTTTCTAAATGGTAAGGTTCCTGTCCAGTAACAGACATCTTCACTTTTCTTGTCTGTAGCACCTGCAATGTGAAACATAATAATCCTCAGTTTTGCGTATTAGATAAACACATGGGTAGCTGACTGACGAGAAGTTCACTCGCCAGATGGTCATTCATTTACGCACTCATCATCATTTACTCTTCCTGATTATTAGAGGGGAAGTGGACACAACGGTGTTCCACTCACAGTTGAATACATCATCTAACGATCGATAGTCGCGTTAGGTGAATGAATGATTAAATTTATATTCATTCCACTATTCATTCTCCTGACAAGTAGTATGTAAACCAATCAATCACTTCTCGATGAAATCCTTTCTACCTTCAAATGTTTGACGTATAAAATGCAGAACTAGCGACATGACTGACTAAAATACCAGTGTCAAGGACATTGGCCGGAACTCAAGTAGTCACGAAAAACGATGCATGCGTTAAACCGATACTCACTGACTACTGAGACTGAGTATGGTGAATCAGAATCTGTGATACACAAGTGAACGATTAGAAGCCGACCACTCAGATAAGCCGGCCCCAGTATTAAGTGTGTTTCTCCAGACTGTAAATTATAATGATAACCAATGGCATTAAGGGACTACTTCCCTCATTCCTTCCCACCTTCCTTCCTTCCTTCTTCTTCTTCTTCCTTCCTTCCTTCCTTCCTTCCACTTACATGCATTCCAAGTTATACACTGAGAAGCATAGTGAAGAAAGGTATACTACAAGGAATAGTTAGTTAGCACGTGTACTAAAAAATAAGTGATTCACTCTCTTTCTCTCCCTCGCTCTTTCTAGCTGTCATTCACGTATCTTTATAAGCCAACAGATAATGATTGATAAATATATATATATATATATATAAGTAGCAACAGACCGACTAAACAAACAACCAGCCAACCAACCAACCAACCAAGTATTAAAAGCAAATCACCTGTTGAAACCACTTCTGTTGCTCTGTGATAGTCCAGTGTCTGGAACACCCGGGGAGAAATCACATGTGATTCTGCGATCATTGCATTCCAGTCATACTTGTCGACAGAATTGCATCGAATTGTTGGTCCACCTTCACTACGAGGTGAAGCTGTTCCACCTACTTTCACTCCAACAGAATGATACTCTGGTTTCATGACTGCAGTTTCAAGACTGCAGCAATTGTAATCGCTCATAACTGAGGCGCTTCCATGGTCACCATTCTCCTCCTCGGATTGTTGATGACTGAGTGTTTGAGTACCAAAGAGACATGGTCTTCGAATTGTTGAGGTCGCAGGACGTGTGATCAGTCTTCTCTCCAAATCAACAACATTTTGATCGTGGAGTATCTCAGAAAGGTTTGATTTATAGTCGGTTCGAAGTGATACCTCATCACATTTCTCATCTACATGAAAAGACAATAGAGTAAGTACATTGTTAATTCGTTCGTCATCAGAAAATAACCGGTTAGGATTAAGAAACCCTCGTATGGAGTGACAAATTCAATTCCATCATAGTGACTCATCATAGTAGGTCAACATAACGAGTTGAAGAGAACTGGGAATATTGTGTTATCTATGTCCTCTGGTTAACCTGGCCCAGATGACTAGCTCGCTAGTTTTCTAGCCGGTCTCAAGCCTGGATGAAGAGGGAATGTTGGGCCGTGGTGCTAGTAGAAACTTCAACGTACAAATATATGAAAACTACTAAAAATGAAAACAATAGCCTTATTTTGGGAACCGATCTCCGCCAGGATAATGACAGCCAGGTTCAACTCAAACGGAAGGAATGTTACAATCATTCAATGCTATGCGTCTACAAACGTCTCAGAACAAGAGAAGAAGGAGACGTTCTTCAGACAACTACAAACACTAATGGACAACGTCCCAAATGGCGATATCAAAATCCTGATGAGCGACATGAATGCGAAGCTGGGAGGAGACAACACAGGAAGAGAACTCACCATGGGTCGTGAGGCCCTCGGTGAAATGAACGACAATGGTGAACTCTTCTCAGACTTCTTCGCCTTCAATGATGTGGTGATCGGTGGCAGTGTGTTCAACCACAAGGATATACACAAGGTCAGCGACATGGACTTCACCAGATGGACACACCAAAAGCCAGATAAACTTCATTTCAATCTCAAAGAAGTGAAGACGGAACCTACTGGACACAAGGTCGAGGAGAGGAGCAGGTGTGGGTTCAGATCACTATCTAGTACAGGGGACTTTCAAGGTGAAGCTAAAAGCCTCGAGGATAGCTGGGGATAGGCCACAATGCAAATTCAACACTCAATTACTGAAAAACACAACCACAAAGGACACTTCCACTGCGACTGTCAGAGCAAAGCAGGAAACACTACGTGACACCACGGAAGAATCATGCGTGGAAGACCATTGGAATTCTCTGAAGGTGATTTTCAACGAAACGCGTTCAACGGTTTTAGGAAGAAAGAAGAGACAACACGAGGAATGGCTCTCAATGGACACTTGGAAACTAGTGGAGGAGAGGAGAATGTTGAAAGAAAAAATGATTCAACGCAAGGACGGACAAGAGAAGGAGACGCTGAGTTCAACTTTCACAGCACTGGACAAAGAAGTGAAGAAGAGTTCTAGGAAGAACAAAAGACAATTCTACGACAATCTGGCCACTGAAGCTGAGAAGGCAGCAGGCAAAAGGGACCTGAGGACACTATATCAGATAACCAAGTCTCTATCCGGGAAGAGATCAACACAAGTGAAACCTATTAAAGACAGCCAAGGGAACCCAATTACAAAGGAAGAAAGACAGATTAAACAATGGGTGGGTCACTTCAAAGGACTCTTGAACCGACCACCACCTCCAACCCATCCAGAAATACCAACAACAGCGCGTACACAACTGCAAGTTGACACCAATCCTCCAACGAGAGCTGAAGTCTTGAGTGCAATCAAGCTTCTGAAAGCTGGAAAAGCAGCTGGACCAGATAGAATACCCCCTGAAACCCTGAAAGCGGACCTAGAGACAACAGCAAATATGCCGTCTCCATTATCGCAAAAGGTCTGGAAGGAGGGAAGGGTGCCTACTGATTGGAGGAAAGAATGTCTCGTGAAACCACCAAAGAAGCGCGACTTACGCCTCACTCTGCAAGAACTGGCGAGGAATCATGCTCCTGTCGACGCCAAGTAAAATTCTGAGTCGCATCATCCTGGAGAGAATAAAGGACGCACTGGAGACAGAACTCCGACCAGAACAAGCTGGCTGCATTCAGGAAAGGCAAATCATGTCCTGACCAAATTGCAACTCTACGCATCATCATCACAGAACAAAACATGGAATGGCAATCAAACCTCTACCTCAAATTTAGAGACTTTGAGAAGGCCTTCGACAGACAGCGTTGACCGCGAAGTAATTTGGAAACTACTCGAGTACTACGGCGTGCAGCGCCCGAATATTCATCAACCTTATTCAACAGCTAGCTGTACGACAACGGCACATGTCAAGTCATCCACAACGGAAAACTCAGCGAGGAGTTTGGAGTGAACACAGGTGTCGGACAAAGGTGCTTGTTATCTTTCACCAGTGATATTCCTACTTGTGGTGGACTGACTGGATTATGCGTCAGACAGTGGGAAACGAGAAGGCAGGGATATCCTGGACCGACGTGAAGAACCCAGAAGACCTGGATTTCGCGCATGGATGATTTATGTTTAATGTGACACACACAAAATCGAAGACTTACAAGCGAAAACCGACCGACAAACTGGTCGAAGAAGCAGCCGGTGAAGACAGGACTCCAGGTGAACATAGACAAGACAGGGGTTATGAAAATAACCAACCAATAACAACAGTAACAGCAACATCCAGCGCCAATCACCATCAACGGGAGGAATTTGAAAGATATTGTTTCATTCACTGATCTAGGGAGCATTGTCTCAACTACAGGAAGTCGGAACGGACGAGGATGTCAAATTGAGTGAGAATCGGGGAGGGGGCGAGAAACACCTGCATCAATCAACCTGAAACCAATCTCGAAATCTTCGTCACTCAGCCATCATCAACAACAAAATTCGGTAGGATTTTCAATACAAACGTCAAGTCAGTCAGTTCTTGTATACGGATGAGAAACTTGGCGGGCGGATCACAAAGAATATTTCCAACAGCCTGTTGCAGACATACATCAGCAGCTATCATCGCTCTATACCGAATATCAGATGTCCGGGTCGGAATGAATCGCCAACAAGAAACTATGGGAAGAAAGAAGACAAGAACCAATCGCCCAACAACAGAAAATATGCAGGCGAAAGTGGAGATGGATTGGACACTCACTGAGGGGGCCCCAGTTCAACCGAACAATGAGTATATGTGCATAACCGGGAACTGTGTCAACTCTAAATGTTTTCGTCCACTGTCTATTCAGTATTGTGAACAGGCTCAAGGAATAAACGTATACAGGCACACCATCAAATAAGTCAATACGGGATGTCTCTAGAAAAAGGACAGTTATTAACTATATCCGCTGAGGGAAGGGAATGGAATCGAAGGCGTGAATACATGAATAGTAATAATAATAATAACGATCATAATAATAGTAGTAGTATGAAATGCAATCAAAATATCTGCGATTATAATCATAGTGTGCCTTTGTAGATGCATTGACTGATCTCTCAAAACATCCATCCACTGGAAACGTACATGGAATGGACAAGTAACTAGATTTTATAGTTGCGTGTCTATCTCTAGGATAAGGAGGCTAATTCATTCACTCTGTTTCAGAATAACAAACACTTGTAGTTCTGATTGCGTTGACTTACAACTAGCCTTTCTAAAAGCCACGCTCACGACAGACGGTCATCCGAACCGATTTATTGACAAGAACATGAAAGACAAGTAGTCCAAACTGGTCACCGACTCACTTCCAAAGAAAGCCTTATTCATGAATCCGGAATTCAAAGATGATCAAGGTATGCTTCAGATATGCTGAAAAACCGTTTGTCAAAATCAGTCGGTAAGACGTTCTTTGCAGAAAAACTATAAATGACGTTCACCAGCTGCAAGTTGTTCTCCATCTGTGTAAAAGATAAGCGTCGTCGTCTTCCCGCCTCCATATGCATCTGTTAGTTCACCTGATCCTTTTATGGAGCAAGGGACATTGGCCATAGCCAGCGAACGCCTTCCACACGGAAACGAGTACATATTCTTGAGTGGTTTTACAAGACAGAAAGGAAGGGTGTACGGAGCTCTATTCTAGAACAACACTTGCTCAACTCCTGTCACTCTTCCAGCCCCGACCATGGTTTGAACATCATCATCATCGTCATCATCATGTATCGAATTCATGACAACTTGCTGCATTTCCTTCGTCTCAAGCTTCTAAAGACAGCGTGGGCCATGGCCAGTCATGAATTAAAGCCAACCAGAATTTTGTGTAGAAAAGAAGTATGTGCAATGCCTACTTCTGCCTTGGCCATAGACGAATAGACATTTGTTTATTTACTTTGTTCATTCAATTACTCTTTTCATTTACTTTCCCTCATTACTACGAATAATATTACTATTATTATTATTATTATTAATAGAAGTAGTAGTAGTAGTATCCTCACAGTGAATTGTTTCCAATTTTCCCATTTGTTAATCAAATTCAAAATGTGCATACCAGTATTCAATTGTATCTAGTCAAATCACACACCATGAAATGTAACGCTGGGTTTGAAGCATAGTGGTGAGTGGTGCGTACTGCTGAGGTGTCAGTCGGAAACTAGGACAACGGAAACAGCCGTCCAGTAGTCACTGCAGCTTTTCCAATGCTCCTCCAACCGATCGAATCCAACCAACCAATCCAACACTTGAAAATTCTTTAAATGACATTATTTGTGTCTCCACTCGACATTGTTCTATTTTAATATTTACAAACCTTTGACTGACATATTTTATTCTACTCTCTTTATTTCGTGTATTCACGCCTTCGCCTTCGCCTCAATTCGCTAACTGGACTAAATTCTCATAAAAGAACTACACATACATATATATATATATATAAATATAAATACGGTTCTACAGCTCGATAACAACATTCCTTGAAAAGAGTCTCTTCGCTAAATATTGTCTTCATAATGGTACAATGTTACAAGGGGAATTGTAAAATTATTAGTTATTAAGTAAACAAAGGTGTTTAGCAATTACAGAAAACACGATAAATGCAAAGCAAGTAATACACTCACTGTTATTGTTGATCACAGACGCTGAGCGAGTCGACTCCATTTTGTTTTTATGTCAGTGATGATGGTGGCTTTCAATCAGTGACAATGTAATCCGTGAGAGTGAAGCTTTGAAAAAATTATTGAAGGCAAACTGTGTATTCTTTCTGTGTGGCCTGAACGATACGTTCACCACGTCACAATTCTCTAAACTGAATACAAGTATCCC